TTTTTTTTTTTTGAGGTGGAGTCTCGCTCTGTCGCCCAGGCTGGAGTTCAGTGGTGTGATCTTGGCTCACTGCAACCTCTGCCTCCCGGGTTCAAGTGATTCTCTTGCCTCAGCCTCCCGAGTAGCTGGGATTACAGGCGCCTACCACCATGCCTGGCTAATTTTTATATTTTATAGATACCATGTTGGCCAGGCTAGTCTTAAACTCCTGACCTCAAGTGATCTGCTCACTTCAGCCTCCCAAAGTTCTGGGATTACAGGCATGAGCCACCATGCCTGGCCTTGTACCTTGGCATTTTAACTTTCTTCCTGTGGTACTAAGAAGAGCAGTGTGCCACAAAGCCAAATAGAGATGTTAGTCTCTCCTTTCTTGCTTTTAGGCTCACACTCTTGTATGTGAAACTGTTAATTTAAAATGTAAAGTTTGAGGCCAGGCACAGTGGCTCACACCTTTAATCCCAGCACTTTGGGAGGCCGAGGTGGGTGGATTGCTTGACCTAGAAGTTCAAGATCAGTGTTGGCCACATAGTGATACTCTGTTTCTACAAAAACTAAAAAAAATTAGCTGGGTGTGATGGCTTGTGCTTGTGGTCCCAGCTACTTGGGAGGCTGAGGTGGGAAGATGGCTTGAGTCTGGGAGGTCAGTCCAGGAGGTGAAAGCTGCAGTGAGCCAGGATCTAGCCACTGCACTCCAACCTGGGCAACAGAGTGAGACCCTGTCTCAAAAATAAATAAATAAGCTAAAATGCAAAAGCCGAGCTCGGGGACTTGCACTTATAATCCCAGCACTTTGGGAGGCCAAGGTGGAAAGATTTCTTGATGCCAGGAGTTCAAGACTAACATGAGCAACAAAGCAAGACCATATCTTTACAAAAAAAAAAAAGAGATACTAAACATCAATAGCATTTCATTAAAAATAGTATTGATATGGAAACATAACACATATAGCAAAATTCTTTGTGCTTAGTTATACCACTATTTCAGTTGAAAGAAGAGACTGATTTGACTGTTAATGTTACATATGAAGTGTGAAAGGCATAACAGTTAAGTGTGTACATAAAATAATATATTGATTAATTCCCCTCATCTAGACAGGGGTAAGCATGTTAAGCAGCCCTCGGAATTGTTGAAGAGTTCTCTGAAAAATTACTTATCTATTGTGTTTGTCTTGGGCCTTGCTTCCTATCTTAGTTATTTTTACTTTCTGTAAATCCTGGGAGCCCAAGTTATGCTGCTTTTAGTGTTTACATGCACAATGTAAAATCATATTTGTTTTGGAAAGTGTTGTTGCTTTTGGAGTTTAATTAATTCAGTTAAAAGCAAGAGTGTGCTTCTCGATGGGACTATCCTCATAGAAGTAGAATGAGGGGCTGAGCACAGTGGCTCACACCTGGAATCCCAGCACTTTGGGAGGCTGAGGCGGGCGGATCACGAGGTCAGGAGTTCGAGACCAAGTCTGGCTAACATAGTGAAACCCCATCTCTACTAAAAATACAGAAAAATTAGCCAGGCGTGGTGTTGGGGGCCTGTAATCCCAGCTACTCAGGAGGCTGAGGCAGGAGAACTGGGAGGTAGAGGGTTGCAGTGAGTGGAGATCGTGCCACTGCATTCTAGCCTGGGCTACAGTGTGAGACTCCATCTCAAAAAAAAAGGTAGAATGAGGCAGAGGTTAGGCAGCTCTGCTCTTTTGGAAGACTTAAGAGGGGGTTGTAAGTGATTTATAAATATTAACTCACTTAATTCTCATAGCCTTATGAATAGATACTGTTATTATCCTTATTTTGTAGATGAGAAAACAGAAACACAAGAGATCAAGTGACTTGCCCAAGGCAATAAATAATGGAATCTGGTTTTAATGTCCCTATATGGAAAGGGGCTAATACACTTATTTCCTTGAGAAAAAAAATATTAGAATAAGTCGTCAGGAGTTCAAGACCAGCCTGACCAACATGATGAAACCCTGTCTCTACTAAAAATACAAAAATTAGCTGGGCTTGGTGGGACGCGCCTGTAATCCCAGCTACTCAGGAGGCTGAGGCAGGAGAATCACTTGAACCCAGGAGGTGGAGGTTGCAGTAAGCCGAGATCGTGCCGTTGCACTTTAGCCTGGGCAACAGAGCAAGACTCTGTCTCAAAAAAACAAAAAAACACCTCTCATTTTATTTTTATTAGTGGTCAGTTTAGAATAATATTACTGTGGAGATATATACATTTTTCCTCTTTGTTGTGCTCATGTAGGTTTTTTAAAAAGCCCTTTTACCAGACAAAATTGTGATTTAAAATACTTAAAGAGGCTGGGCACAGTGGTTCACGCCTGTAGTCTCAGCACTTTGGGAGGCTGGAGGATCACTGGAGGCTAGGAGTTCCAGACCAGCCTGGGCAACAGAGCAAGACCCCCATCTTTAAATAAATAAGTAAGAATTAAAAAAAGAAAAAACAAAATACTTAAAGAATTAGATATGTCTAAAAGCAAATTGGTGGATTTTTTTTTGCATATTTGCAGTTTAACTGCAACAACAGTTAAATTTTTGTCAAATGTGAACTTATAGGATATCTTTTATTTGTTTGACTCAGATTTTATGGTTAAGAAAATTACTTGTTGAGCCAGGTGCAGTGGCTCATGCATATAATCCTAGCACTTTGGGAGGCCAGGGCGGGTGGATTGCTTGAGCCCAGGAGTTCAAGACCAGTCTGGGCAACATAACGAAACCCTGTCTCTACAAAAAAAATATAAAAGTTAGCCAGGTGTGGAGGCACAGAGCTCTGGTTCCAGCTATTGGGGAGGTTGAGGTAGGAGGATTTCTTGAGGTAGGAGGATTGGGAGGCAGATGTTACAGTGACCTGAGATTGTGCCACTCCACTCCAGCCTGGGTGACAGAGACCCTGTCTCAAAAAATAAATAAATAAAAAAATAAAAATTTTAAAAATGGAAAATTACTTCTTAAGTAATATAAAAATGAACTAGGATCTCAAAAAAAAAAAAATGGACTAGGAAAAAATGAAATGTATTTGTCTTGTAAACGTTGATTTCTCCAGGTCCTCCAGAAGAGGGCACTTGGTGTTTACAGTTTAAAACTTTAAAGAGCTTTTGTTTTTTCTTAATTGTAGGTTGGGAGTCCTCCTCTTGAGCCAACTGAATGTTTTCTTCCTGAAGAAGAGAAACTTACTGAACAAGAGAGATCAAAAAGGCGAGTAGATATAGAAATTAGCCCTTACAAATATTTCCACATAGCATAGATAAGGTGATTGTTCAAAAAGGCACTTATAAAGGTTGCAGAATGTGGATTCTGATGTGAGTAAAACCTCCATTTACCACTTACTTGTTATGTGATCTTGTTCAAACCTGAGACTCAGTTTCCTTGTGTAAAATAGATACAATAAATAAATCCAATTCAAAGGGTTGGTGGATAAAAATAAATATATATGAAATTTACTTATAAAACTTAAACCATTACACAAATATTGATTTACTTTTTCTTTACAGATTTGAAAAGGTTTATACTCATAACCTATATTACCTAGCTCAAGTCTACCAGCATCTGGAAATGTTTGAGAAGGCTGCTCACTATTGCCACAGTACACTAAAGCGCCAGCTTGAGCACAACGCCTACCATCCTATAGAGTGGGCTATCAATGCTGCTACCTTGTCACAGTTTTACATCAATAAGGTACGCTTCTTGAAGTAGTTATCTAACAGAATACCAATAGTAGGTATAAAAATAGAACCAGCAGTACCTTGAAAATACCATCTTTTGAAAACAGGTAGCTTGTATTTAATGATGTACAACTGGACCCGAAAATGCAGCCCAATTTGCCAGTGTACTAAAATTTTGTAGCTTTTTGTTATATGAATTCTTTTGAGTTTAAAAATACTGAGTTTTATCATTTGTTTTACATGTTACTTAAGACTAATTCTCTTTTTAACATAGGCACACCATCTCAACTCAGTAAGATATTACCTTAAATTGCAGATTTTTCTTGTAGATATAACTTTATCTTTATGTAATGGTAATCTCATAACTCTGAGAATTTGACTGAGGAAGTTGACTGTTAAATGTGGGCTTTGATAAAAGCATGTGATGCATTTCAGTTATTTTTCAGAATTAACTCTGTAATTTTTGATGTTGGAAAATATGTCTGCTGAGTTCCGAAGTTCTAGGTCTTTATGACATACTTCTTTTGGATTGTTACACAGGGACAATGTTTTTGAACTTCTTAGTTATCAGAATTTCTCATAAAAATTTAAAAAAGCATTGCTCAGATCATGTTGATGTACTCTTAATTGACTCATTTATTCCTTTACTCACCAAGAGTTTTTAATGCTAAAATAATTTTACCCTACCTTTTCTAACTAGATTTTCCTATTAATCCTTAATAAGCCATCTCAGCAATAGAAATTACTTTTATTTGTATTTCTAATTCACAAGCCTCTCTAAAATTTTGATGATTCTCTGCTTATCAGAGTTCCTTCTTTCATCTCTCTGGTAACCTGCTGCCTTATCCTTGGGACTTTATCCTTTTTGAGCATTTTGTTAGCATTGGTTCTGTAAATACGCCCTATGATTAAAGTATTGTCCCACAGAATTTCATTCAGAAAAGCTATTAGCAGGAGAGAAAGGGCTGTGGTGACTGCAGCATCGCTTCTAGGACTTTGGTCTAAGATCAAGTGTGTAAGTAACGCTACTGCATATATCAGAGTATTCAGTTAACTAATTCTCATGAATCCATTTCATTGTCCTCATCAAAAGTGTTATCTAAAGGGCCTCTGCTTGTGACATCTTTTTTATAGCTGTTGGAGGCCCCTTGTTCATTTTGTTTAGCAACTTTAAAATTATATAGTCACTGACTTTAATACTTAAAACTCCATGGATATTGGTAGTACTAAGATATCTAGATATTAAAGTGTGATTTAAAATTTAAAGTTGTTAAGCATTACTTATGTGGAGCATGCAGTAATTTCCATGAGCACTTTCCGCACCCTGTACTTTTATTTTTTACCAAAATCTTTCAGTTTTTGTTAAAACTAAGTTGTATTGCAAAAAGAGGGATTTGAACCATGGTTTTTTAAAATGCAATTTCATTTATATCATTGTCATCTTCATCTGATTCCAGTGATGAGGTGTTGCTACTTGGTGAATCTCTACCTGGCAGCTGCTAAAGTCCCACATTTACCAGCCACCTAGAGGGCATAAGGCATTCACTGTTTTAGCAGTGGTTGCTCACAGGGAGTCAATCTGGACAAAGCTGAAATGATGATAATGGTTAAGGGATTGGATTGTAGAGGGATAATTAAAGTTTCATTATGTAAACTAACTTTTTTTTTTGGCTTTTAAGAGTTAACACATTGGCCAGGCGTGGTGGCTTCTGCCTGTAATCCCAGCACTTTTGGAGGCCAAGGAGGGTGGATCACAAGGTCAGGAGTTCGAGACCAGCCTGGCCAATATGGTGAAACCGCGTCTCTACTGAAAATACAAAATTAGCCGGGTGTGGTGGCTCACGTCTGTAATCCCAACACTTTGGGAGGCTGAGGCGGGCGGATCACAAGGTCAGGAGTTTGAGATCAGCTGGCCAATATGGTGAAACCCCGTCTCTACTAAAAATACAAAATTAGCTGGGCATGGTGGCGAATGCCTGTAATCCCAGCTACTTGGGAGGCTGAGGCAGGAGAATCACTTGAACCCAGGAGGCGGAGGTTGTGGTGAGCCGAGATTGCGCCATTACACTCCAGTCTGGGCAGCGAGAGTGAAACTCCATCTAAATTTAAAAAAAAAAAAAAAGATTTAACACATTTTTATTTGTAGATGTTTAGATGTTGCTGGGCTAATACTACATGTGCCCAGCTATTCTCAAGATGGCTTCTGAATTTGCCATAATGAAAAGATACACTTAATGCTGTGATTTTAAAGTTATAGCCAACCATTTAAAGCCTTTCAGGTATTATTAATATTAAATAGACATTCTATTTAATGAGGGTGGCTTCCAACTAAAAGTTGGACTTTAACTTTGAACTTCTGCTGGGTGGTCCTTTGACTTACATGACAAGTACAAAATGTTTCTCTGTTAACAAGGAGATCTTCTCTAATTGTTTGAGAGGTTTGCCATGCCCAGAATTGAATTATGAAGTCTTCAAGAGTGTTGGTAAAGCAGTTCCATAAAGTTCATCTGTAGAAATCTGTTGACTTTAAAACTTGGTGGGAAGCCTTATTGTATGTAAATTTTAAAGATTTTATAACACAGGAATCTCTTCCTATCCGAATTTATCCGATTTGTTTTTGTATAGTAGGATGTAAAAGGGCTCTCTAAACCTAATAAAAATTAAATCTTCAGGCTGGGCAAGGTGACTTACATCTATAACCCCAGCACTCTGGGAGGCCAAGGTGGGAGCATGTCTTGAGGCAAGGAGTTGGAGACCTGTCTAGGCAACATAGAGAAACTGCAGAATTAGCCAGGCTTAGTGGCATGTGCCTATATTCCAGCTACTCAGGAGGCTAAAGGTGGGAAGATCCCTTAAGCCCTGGAGGTTGAGGCTGCAGTGAGCTATGATTTTGCCACTGCACTCCTGCCTTGGGCCAGGGTGAGGCCCCTGTCTCTTAAAAAAAAAAAATTCTTTTAATCCTCTGACACAATATAAATAGTCTAAGAATTTATTGTGCATGGGATTTTGGCTATTTAGACTGAACCTAAAGGACTTTTGAGGCAATTTAAGTGCAGGATGACAGCCATTCCTGTATATTCATTGATTATATAAGGAGAGCTAACTTTTACTTGGTAGTTGTCTTTCAGACAGACTGGATTATTATTAAAGAGTTTAGGGCATTATTATTTTAACCTTGGAGGTAACATTTTAACCAGATAATATGATAATATATCTTTTATACCTTCTGAATGATCTGCAACTCTACAGGGTCTCCTTTGTGGTATTTTTATCTGATTTTATAGCTTTTCCCATATTAAAAAAAAAATTATGCAAGTATCAGCTGCAAATAAAGCTGTGTGTGATAGTTGCATTCACTGTTGTTTATTTCCCCAATAGCTATGCTTTATGGAGGCCAGGCACTGTTTATCAGCTGCTAATGTCATTTTTGGTCAAACTGGAAAGATCTCAGCCACAGAAGACAGTAAGTTTATTTGTGCATGTTTTACATAGCTTTTAAAAAATGTTTTATTTTGAAATTATTTTAAACTTTTGAAAAGTGGCAAGAACAGAAGAGCTATTATATGCCCTTCTCCTAAATGCACCAATTTTTAGTGTTTTCTTCACTTGGAATCAAATTTTATTTTTCTCTCTGAACCATTAGAGAGAAGGTTACATACATTAGGGTTCTTTACCGTTTCATACTTCAGTATATATTTCCTAAGAAAATATTTTCTTACATAATCATAGATCATTTATCAAATTCAAGAAATGTAACATGGGCCAGGCATGGTGGCTTATGCCTGTGATCGTAGCATTTTGGGAGGCCAAGAAGGGAGGCTTGCTTGGGGCCGGGAGTTCAAGACCAGCCTGGTCAACATAGTGAGACCCCCCCATCTATTTTTTTAAAGAAATTTTAAAAAAAGTAACAGTGATACAATTCTTTTATCAACAGTGCATATTTCCGTTTCATCAGTTGTTGCCCTAATATTCCTTCTGGCATTTATTTTCCGGTACTGGTTTATACAGGTCAAGATTGCATATTGGATTCACTTGTCACATCTCTTTAGGCATTTTTCATCTGGAATAGTTTCTCAGCCTTTCTTTACCTTTCATCACAAAACGTTTTTGAAGAATACAGGCCAGTTATTTCATAGAATTACTGTCAGCTGGGGTTTGTGTGATGTTTCCTTATGCCATGATTCAGATAATATATTTTTGATTGGAATACTACATGCATAAGCGATGTAGCCAAATATCCATCTTTTTAAGTACAGGTTTTCATTTAGTCTTAGAAAATCACAGTTAACATGTGTCTTTGAGTCGTTTAACAGGTTTTATAATAAGTTCATTATTTATCCTCTGTTTGATTCTATAACTCACTGTTGAACAGTTTCCAACCTTCTTAAGATGTTCTAGATTTTGAAACATCATGTCTTTATAAATGGACATTCTAATTGTGTATCTGAAAAATGCAGAGGCCCTTAAGGGTTAAAGGAAGGTACAAAGTAAATAGTTGCTTTCTTCCCTAATATGTTGACTATATTGAATTAATTATAGATCAAGTCTAAGAGGCACTAGTCTCAAAAAAATTAATAAAAACTAAATTGCTGAGATATTAATATCTCATTTAAAGTAATTTTGTGAGTTTTTTTTTTTTACTCTTCAAAATAGCTGAAAAAATATCGATGTCTGATGTTTTCAAAATGTTCTTACTGAACATTCTCATATATTGTTGGTTGGAGTATTTGTTGAAAATAATTTGGCTGTATGTTGTGAATTACTTAAAATTGTTATAAACTCGTTTACTCAGTAAATTCCACTTCTAGGAATCTGTCCTAAGGAAGTAATCCAAAATTCAGACAGATTTTTGCACAGATATATTCATGTTTCGAGTTTAAAAAATATGTATATATACATATACATACATGCATATATATATGTTTATGTATAAAACTTTACAAACCTTTGTGTTGAGGGCTGACTTACAATAGATTGCAGCAAGAAAGCTGCTCTGCTATGTATGACACTCTGACCCAGAAGCAGCTCATCTGTGAATGGTTTAGCACCAGCTTCCCCACAACCACGTGTTGTGTGACATACAGGTTTTTGTGATAGTAAAGAATTGGAAACAACAAGTTCCGGGTTAGAACTAGAAGAATGATTAAATAATGGATTATCTATTTAATTGTATATAATGCTGTATTTTAAAATGAAGCTAAGAGTTGATAATGATATGAATAAAGTGTTTGTGGTATGAGAATAAATATGCAAAAATAGTAGTGAGTGCTTCTGGGTAGTAGGATTTGGGGTGGGTCTTTCTTCCCTTTCCCCTGAACCCCCTGCTTCAGTGAAGATCTGTTACTTTTATAGTAAGGAAAAAGTGATATACAAAATATTATAATACCCAATAAAAATTACAGTTGTGATTACTAACTTAAACAAATCACATGTATATTTTAGGTCCTGAAGCTGAAGGAGAAGTGCCAGAGCTTTATCATCAAAGAAAGGGGGAAATAGCAAGATGCTGGATCAAATATTGTTTGACTCTTATGCAGAATGCCCAACTCTCTATGCAGGTAATACAGTCAGAAGTTGCCTTTTTCTTTCTTAAATGAGCAACTTGTAAGTAAAAACTCATAGTGAGGATTGTGCTCATTAGGCTCACATTGTGTTTAATATGAAAGGCATATAGAATGCTCTCATAAATATTTCTTTCTTGGTTTTAAATCTTACTCATCCAATTGCTTGAATCCAGGAGGCAGAGGCTGCAATGAGGCAAGATTGGGCCACTGCACTCCAGACTGGGCAACAGAGCAAGACTCCATCTCAAAAATAAATAAATAAAATAAATTATATTCATTCAAGGCCTATCTTAAATACTACCTCTTCCTTGAAGACTTTTCTTTGGTTAGAATATAAGCTTCTTGAGAGCTGGAAACTATATCATATTCTTTTTGTTTTTAAAACAGGCTCTCCCTCTTTTCCCAGGCTAAAGTGTAGTGGCATGATCATGGCTCACTGCAGCCTTGAACTCCCCAGGTCACACAGTCCTCCCACCTCATTGATCCCAATCCTCAAGGCCTCATGCAATCCTCAAGCCTATCTTAAATACTGCTTCTTCCTTGAATACTTTTCTTTGGTTAGAATATAAGTTTCTTGAGAGCTTGGAACTGTGTCATATTCTTTTTTTTTTTTTAAATAGGCTCTCACTCTGGGGTGTGGTGGCATGATCATGGCTCACTGCAGCCTTGATCTCCCCAGCTCACGCAATCCTCCCGCCTCATCCTGGGAGTACAGGTGTGTGCCACCATGTCCAGTTAATTTTTAAATTTTTTTTTTTTTTTTTTTTTGGGACGGAGTTTCGCTCTTGTTACCCAGGCTGGAGTGCAATGGCGCGATCTCGGCTCACCGCAACCTCCGCCTCCTGGGTTCAGGCAATTCTCCTGCCTCAGCCTCCTGAGTAGCTGGGATTACAGGCACGCGCCACCATGCCCAGCTAATTTTTTGTATTTTTTTAGTAGAGACGGGGTTTCACCATGCTGACCAGGATGGTCTCGATCTCTTGACCTCGTGATCCACCCGCCTCGGCCTCCCAAAGTGCTGGGATTACAAGCTTGAGCCACCGCGCCCAGCCGCCTGGCTTATTTTTAATAAAGATGGGGTTTCGCCATGTTGGCCAGGAAGGTCCCTATCTCTTGACCTGGTGTTCCGCCCACCTCCAAAGTCCCAGGATTACATACAGGCCTAAAGTTATATATATATATATATACACATATATATATATATGTATATATATATATACACATATATATATATATGTATATATATATGTGTGTATATATATATATATATATATATATATACAGGCTTGAGCCACCGCGCCTGGCCAATTTTTAAATTTTTTTGTAGAGACTGGCTCTCACTATATTGCCCAGGCTGATCTTGAACTCCTGCGCTCAAGTGATCCTCCCTCCTTGGCCTCCCAAAGTGCTGGGATTACAGGCGTGAGCCACTGTGCCTGGCCTTACTAATCTTTTTTTTTTTTTTTGGAGACGGAGTCTCGCTGTGTTGCCCAGGCTGGAGTGCCAGAGTTCAGTGGAGTGATCTCAGCTCACTGTAACCTCTTCTTCCCAGGTTCAAAGGATTTTCCTGCCTTTGCTTCCCGAATAACTGGGATTATGGGTACCTGCCATCACACCAGGCTAATTTTTGTATTTTTAGTAGAGATGGGTTTCACCATGTTGGCCAAGCTGGTCTTGAACTCCTGACCTCAAGTGATCCACCGATCTCGGCTTCCCAAAGTGCTGGGATTACAGGTGTGAGCCACTGCACCTGGCCAAGGCCTTATTAATCTTTATATATTTGTCAGTGTTATCTTACACACAGCATGGACTTGATAAAATCTAAAAGGGTAGACTTTTAAGAAATAGCCCATGTAATTGTTCAAAAATAGAAGCAGAACTGATGGCAGTGAAGAGCATGGACTCTGGAAACACAATAGGTAGGTATGAATTCCAGCTCTGCCACTTTGTAGCTATGTCTTTGTGGCAATTTACTTAATATCTTTTTGCCTTTATTTCCTCACAAGTAAGTTGGAGATAATAGTTCTTACTTAATACTGTTGTTATGAGAGTTAAATCAGTATATATTAAGGCCCCAGAAAAGTGCCTGAGACATACTAAGTCCTTAATAAATATTAACTATCATAATCATTATTAATTTATGCCCAATTCTAGTTCCTAACCACTAGGGAGGATAATAAAACTAATCATTTTGATGCAGTATGCTAAGTGTGGATACATAGGATGCTTTCCTGGGGGAGTCATTGTGCTGCTGTTTTTCTCTTTGCGTGTATTAAAGCGTAATAATTTTTTTTTTTATTTTGTAGGACTCTGCTTCATAAGAGTGTAGTGATCGTTAGTGGTTGTATTAGTGTGTTCTCACACTGCTATAAAGAACTACCTGAGGCCAGGCGCAGCGCCTTATACCTGTAATCCCAGTGCTTTGGGAGGCTAAGGTGGGCGGATCACTTGAGTTCATGAGTTTGAGACCAACCTGGGCAACATGTTGAAACCCTGTCTCTACCAAAAATACAAAAAATAGCCAGGCGTGGTGGTGCGCACCTGTAGTCCCAGCTACTCAGGAGGCTGAGGCAGGAGAATCACTTGAGCTGGGAGGCAGAGGTTGCAGTGAGCCAAGATTGTGCCACTGCACTCCAGTCTGGGTGACAGAGTGAGACCCTGTCTCAAAAAAAAAAAAAAAAAAAAGGTAATTTTCTTCATAAATTACCTAAAACTGGGTAATTTATGAAGAAAAGAGGTTAGTTGATTCACGTTTCCGCAGGTTTAACAGGAAGCATGACTGGGAGGCCTCAGGAAACTCATAATTATGGCAGAAGGTGAAAGGGAAGCAAGCATGTCTTAACCATGGCAGAGCAGGAGAGAGAGAGAACAAACCAGGAAATGCCACACACTTTAAACCCATCAGATCTTGTGAGAGAGCTCACTCACTACCACAAGAACAGGAAGGAGGAAATCTGCCCCCATGATCCAGTCACCTCCCACCAGGTCCCTCTGCCAATTTGACATGAGATTTGGTCGGGGGCACAAATCTAGACTGTATCAGTGGTAAATAATGTAGAACTTTGTAAAACAAAAGAAAACTAAGCAAATAAACCTCAACACATCAGCTTAGGTCTTGAAAAGGTAAAGATCATTTTAGAGGCTAGCGGGTAAAGATGAGGCATATTAAGGAAAGACAGGCCTGGCGAGGTAGCTCTCACCTGTAATCCCAGCACTTTGGGAGGCCAAGGCAGACGGATTACCTGAGGTCAGGAGACCCGCCTGGCCAATGTGGTGAAACCCCGTCTCTACTAAAAATACAAAAATTAGACAGGCATAGTGGCAGGTGCCTGTAATCCCAGCTACTCAGGAGGCTGAGGCAGGAGAATCACTTGAACCAGGGAGACGGAGGTTGCAGTGAGCCTAGATCATGCCATTACACTCCAGCCTGGGGGAAAAGAGCAAGACTTTGTCTCAAAAAAAAAAAAAAGAAGAAGAACTATGGGGCTTTGTGTCTAGAGAATTTGGAGCCAGGAAGAACTGTCAGGTTTCTTCTCATCAGGTAAGGAAAACTGGAAGCAAAACAGGGACTATTGTTGGGACAAAACAGTGGACTAATTTAAGAAAGCATCCTAGAGAGAACAAGTAAATAAACAAGCAGCCCAGGAAGGAAGGAAGGAAATATACAAGATTTAGAGACTTATGACCTACATTTTAAGTAACTGTGTCAAGTAAAACGCACTATGATTTGACCCTTACCTTTCATTTAGTTGATGTTTCTAGTCTAGGAACTTAGAACCTCGTTACTTGATTAAACTCACATATTTGCCATGCTACTAAATTACTCAGATTTTCCTTAAACTGATTTATTTTTGGCATTATTTCATATTAGTTTAGAGGTTCCATTTTCACTCCTCAATAGATTTTATGTATTTATCATATGCTTCTTCACTCATAAGTTCATCTAGCTCTGAAGGTTATTCAGTGTCATCTTCATCAGCCAACCATCCTCATAACAAGATTTGTTTACATGTCCTGGATTTTCTGCAAGGGCTTCATTAATTTCAGTTACTTCTTCTGATAAAGGAGAATAGAGTTCACTACATCTTTCACACTTTCCAAAGCATCAAATTTATCTTGTTTGTTCAATTTTGTACCAACTTCAAGCTGACTACAGTAAGCAACATCTCCAATGTTTCCTGTGCAAAGTTGCTGATTTCCACTGTTCCAATACCATTTTCTGTTGTTATCCATTCATGTTTCTCTGTGAATTTACGCACTGAGAGCAGAGCGGGTCCCGTGCGCAGCATTGGGATGGCGCCTGCCCTCCAGCTGCTAGGACCTTGGCGGGCAGGGTGCTGCAGGTGACTGGACCGCGTGCAGGGTGCAGAGAACGGCCCACACACTCCGCACCACTTGCAGCTTTATGTTCGAAGGGGTACCCGGGTCGCAGCACTACGCCTCCACCACCTGCGCAGGGAGGCGGAGCCGGGTGGGGCCGAATTTTGTTTTTTGCGTTGGGGTCTCTGTCACCTAGGCTGGAGTGCAGTGGCGTGATCTCGGCTCACTGTAACCTCCACCTCCCTGGCTCAAGTGATCCACCCACATCGGCCTGCCAAGTAACTGGGACCACAGGTGTGTGCCACTGTGCCTGGCTAATTCTTTGTATTTTTTTAGAGGCCATGTTTCACCATGTTGCCCAGGCTGATCTTGAACTCTTGAGCTCAAGCATCCACCCACATCGGCCTCCCAAAGTGCTGGGATTACCAGTGTGAGCCACTGCGCTTGGCCCTGACTTTCTTATTTAACCTTATCTTCATCCTTTATCCATCTGTGTATTTATCTGAAAGGCCTTCTTCAGTTGAAGCTTTAAGACATACACAAATTTATTCAATTAAGTATTTATTTATGCCAACCCTTTGCTAGTCATTGGCCAAGGATACTATGATGAACAAAAATGGATTTAGCCTTTGACTTCATATAAAGGTACAATTTTGCTAAGTTCCACAAAGGAGAGACACATGATATGAGAAGGCACAATAGGAGGAAATAACAAGCAAGCTCCAGGGATGAGTGAGTAGGAGTTACCTAGACTGAAGAAAAGGAGGCACACCATTCCAAGGAGCTGAAGCAGCATGTTTAGGAGTTCTGTAGCGTAAGGGAGGATGGTATCAGAAGGGATGGAGCAAAGGCTTTGAGGTTGGAGCTGGGGGAGAGGGAGTGTGATATAAGGTAAAGTTAGAGTTAGAAAGGGGTTGGAGCAATCAAGGCTTTGAAACATTGTTGTCTTCATCTTCTGAGCACTTGGAAACCTTGAAGGGTTTGTGGAAAGATCACTAGTGAGACAATGTCAAGTGAAAAGAAGAAAAGGCCTTGGGATCTGTTATTTAATTTTATTGGCCAAGAAGAGCTTACTCTCTTTTTTAACCATCTTAGTTCTTTTTTCTTTTCTTTTTTTAATTTGCCCCCCTAACCCCCAAGAGGCAGGGGAGATAAAATTTTATGAAGTAGATTTAACTCTTTCTTCACTTTGATGTCTTTAAGAGACCTAGAGCATTTCTCTCTGATATATTTCGTTACAAACTTAACAGCATAAACATGGTAACATTAATCTTAATTGCATCTTTGTGAAATATTTTTATGATGTAGATTACAGTCTTATTACAAAGTTAAAAAATACTGTTAATGTATCACATCAATGTAATGTTTCACAAGTTTCAAAGTACTTTTACATGTAACATTTACCTTACTGGAAGGAGTAACTGTAAATGAATTTCAGTTCCTTAGAATAAATGATATATAAGCAGCTTGTCTAATTTATTTAAATACTCTTTTTTACATTTGCTGAGTTTTTAATATGATTGGAAGAAAGAAAGTAGTTTTCAAAGGTGTTTAAGATTATGATACCTCCCTAAACCAGGCTGGAAAGTAAGAGACTTTTCTTTACTCTGAAGTTTGCTTTAATATTTTTTAACAGTGGGAGGTGAGTGATCTACTTAACCATAGTTTTTTTTTCTTCAGGACAACATAGGAGAGCTTGACCTTGATAAACAGTCTGAACTAAGAGCTTTAAGGAAAAAAGAACTGGATGAGGAGGAAAGCATTCGGAAAAAAGCTGTGCAGTTTGGAACTGGTGAACTGTGTGATGCCGTCTCTGCAGTAGAAGAGAAAGTGAGCTACTTGAGACCTTTAGATTTTGAAGAAGCCAGAGAACTTTTCTTATTGGGCCAGCACTATGTCTTTGAGGCTAAAGAGTTCTTTCAGATTGATGGTTATGTCACTGACCATATTGAAGTTGTCCAAGACCACAGTGCTCTGTTTAAGGTGCTTGCATTCTTTGAAACTGACATGGAGAGACGGTGCAAGATGCATAAACGCAGAATAGCCATGCTAGAGCCCCTAACTGTAGACCTGAATCCACAGTATTATCTGTTGGTCAACAGACAGATCCAGTTTGAAATTGCACATGCTTACTATGATATGATGGATTTGAAGGTCGCCATTGCTGACAGGCTAAGGGATCCTGATTCACACATTGTAAAAAAAATAAATAATCTTAATAAGTCAGCATTGAAGTACTACCAGCTCTTCTTAGACTCCCTGAGAGACCCAAATAAAGTATTTCCTGAGCATATAGGGGAAGATGTTCTTCGCCCTGCCATGTTAGCGAAGTTTCGAGTTGCCCGTCTCTATGGCAAAATCATTACTGCAGATCCCAAGAAAGAGCTGGAAAATTTGGCAACATCATTGGAACATTACAAATTTATTGTTGATTACTGTGAAAAGCATCCTGAGGCTGCCCAGGAAATAGAAGCTGAACTAGAACTTAGTAAAGAGATGGTTAGTCTTCTCCCAACAAAAATGGAGAGATTCAGAACCAAGATGGCCCTGACTTAATCCCTGCTTTTAAAGAAAGGAAATGTTGAAGTGATCTTTTTCCCTAGTCAAACTGGCCCAATTCCATTGTGATATTTACCTTTATAGCCAGGTGAGTGCAGTTTGAGCTTGAGACACAGTAAACTGAGTGTTTGCTAGGATCCTAAGGAACATGAAGTTAATTAATAATTTACACCTAATTATATAAATTGCCTTGTTAAAGATACGTGATTTTTGTATTTTAGATGCTTGTTTCTATTTAAATATAAACCTTTTTACCCTCAGTTTTTAAATGTAGATTATTTGTTGGCTAGTACTTGATAGATTCCTTGTAAGAAAAAATGCTGGGTAATACACCTGGTAGTCAAGTCTGTTACTATATTAAAATTGAAAAAGTAACTCTGTAGTTACTCTTTCTAAAATATTTGATTTCCTAAATTCCCCCCACCCAAAATCTTTCCCTTTTGAAAATATTAAAAACTTAAGTTATGTTATTATAAAGTGTAAAATGGTTTGTCTCAATTATAGGAGAAAAAGGCCTTGTTGGAAATAAAATAAACTGACTTATTTCACTAATAAAATCTTCCATTTCCCCATTTATTTTCTTGTGAGCATTGGTTTTATTTTTTTTGATACCTCAAAGATATTAGCATATTTGAAACTAGAGAAGAATATTTCTTCAATAACATTGCAAAGTTAGAAAACATTAAAATATCATTCATGGCTGAGTGTGGTGGCTCATGCCTGTAATCCCAGCACTTTGGGAGGCTGAGGTGGGAGGATCACTTGAGCCCAGGAGTTCAAGACCAACCTGGGCAACATAGTGAGACCCCATCTGTACAAAACATACAAAAATTAGATGGGGCATGATGCCACCTGCCTGTAATCCCAGCTTCGTGGGAGGATTGCTTGAGCCTGGGAGGCCAAGGCTGCAGTGAACCATAATTGCCACTACACTCCAGCCTGGATGACAGTGAGACCCTGTCTCAAAAAAGTAAAGTAAATAAAGTAAAAAAGTAAAATATTATTCACTTAGTAAATATTTACTGGGCTACTGTGTCCCAGGAAACTTTTACTGACTGTGATTTCTCATAGGATCCTGGCATGTTTACAAACTTAAGCACTATTGAGAAGGGATATATATGTCATAACTAAACCTTGTTAATATGTGTTAGTCATTTTAAGAAATGCAGGATTAAAATGGAATTCCTATCTGGTGTATTGTCGAGATCAGTTGTAACATTTAACACAGAGAATAGCTCTGTGTGTTAGCTTGCCTGTTAATTTGCTTCTGAAAGCTTAGGTCTGGGTCAATGCTAAGGCTCTGTAACATTTACGTTAAAAAAACATACACATATGAAAATCACCTTGCTTTCCTTTTGAGATCAATTTTCCAGGAAGAAAAATCTTTGAGTATAACAGTCAGAAACGTGTAATTCACTCAGTATTTAACTGATAATTTATTAAAGTCTTTACTAAGGTCAGGCCCTGTTCTCACTTTTCTAATTATAGATAATATGGTGATAAACAGGATAAACAAGGACCTGGTCTCACAGAGCGAGTAAACAACTAAGATAATTTCAGGCTATTTAAGTGCTGTTAAGAAGGGAAAACTGAAATGGCAAACTTTTTTTTTTCTCTGTTGCCCAGGCTCCCTGGCTGGAATGCAATGGCACGATCTCAGCTCACTGCAACCTCTGCCTTCTGGGTTCAAGTGATTCTCCTGCCTCAGTCTCCCGAGTAGCTGGGGCTATAAGTGCACAACACCACGCCTGGCTAATTTTTTGTATTTTTAGTAAAGGCAGGTATTTTTGTATTTTCACTGGGCTGGTCTTCAACTGCTGACCTCAAGTGATCTGCCCACCTCAGCTTCCCAAAGTGCTGGAATTACAGGTATGAGCCACTGCGCCTGGCTGAAAATGGTAAACTTTTAATGGAAGGGGTGCTGTCTTAGCTGTGGTGATCTGCAAAGGTCTTTGAGAAGGTGGGAGGTGACACTGAGCTGAGAACCAAATTGGGGGTGAAAGCAGCCAAAGTCATCTTTAGGTAGGGTGTTCCAGGGAAGCCAGGCTGGAACAAGTTCAGGAAGGAGTTTGGCATGAGAAAGACCAGTGGGGCTGGTGCAGATAAGGGTGAGGAGTGGGGACAGCAGTGGGGAGTCCAGATGGAGAGGGCTTTGTGGATCAGGGTAAGGAGTTTGGATTTTATTCAAGGTGCAATGGGAACTTTGATGGAATTTTAAAAAGGGAAACAGCATTATCTGATTGGAATTTTTAAGAAACTACTCTGGCTGTTAGCACAAGGAAGGGGGAAAGGGCAGCCAAGAACCAGAGGAATCAGAGAGACAAGGTTCTGTTAATATTAATCCAAGTGAGTCAGGCGCCGTGGCTCACACCTGTAATCCCAGCACTTTGGGAGGCCGAGGAGGGCGGATCACGAGGTCAAGAGATCGAGACCATCCTGGCCAACATGGTGAAACCCTGTCTCTACTAAAAATAAAAAAATTAGCTGGGCATGGTGGCGTGCGCCTGTAGTCCCAGCTACTCGGGAGGCTGAGGCAGGAGAATTGCTTGAACCCAGGAGGCAGAGGTTGCAGTGAGCCGAGGTGGCGTCACTGCACTCCAGCCTGGAGCCTGGCGACAGAGTGAGACTCTGTTAAAAAAAATTGAGCCGGGCGCGGTGGCTCACGCCTGTAATCCCAGCACTTCGGGAGGCCAAGGCGGGTGGATCATGAGATCAAGAGATCGAGACCATCCTGGTCAACATGGTGAAACTCCGTCTCTACTAAAAATACAAAATTCAGCTGGGCATGGTGGCGTGTGCCTGTAATCCCAGCTACTCAGGAGGCTGAGGCAGGAGAATTGCCTGAACCCAGGAGGCGGAGGTTGCGGTGAGCCGAGATTGCACCATTGCACTCCAGCCTGGGTAACAAGAGCGAAACTCTGTCTCAAAAAAAAAAAAATTAATCCAAGTGAGAGATGAAAGTGGACTGGACTAGGATGAGGGAGTGGAGATGGAGAAAAGTGGCTTAATTCTGGATATGCTTTGAACATGCTATAGAGGGTTAAGTGTAGAGCATGAGGGGAAAAGAAGAACCATGTTAAGTTGAGGAAGTATGCAGGCAAAGCATGTTTTTATGGGGGATATGTGGGGTTAGAATTAAAAGTTTTGTTTAGGCAAAGTTGAGTTTACGATGTTAAGCTTGAGATGAAATGATTACTATTTAATAATATCTGCTCATCAGACTTTAAAAGGGAAGCGGGAGGACCAAGAAGAGGCAAAGAAGGGAGGGAAGTTTCTTGAGGATAGTGATACATGGCACTTCAGCTCTCTTGAGAACTGATTCTAAGACAAATCCCCCTGTTAAAAGCCTTCCTTCATATGGCCATTTTCCTCTCAACCTTAATCAACTTCATAACTTCATTTATATATCCATTTATTTATTTAGAGACGCAGTTTCACTCTTGTCAAGGCTAGAGTGCAATGGTGAGATCTCAGCTCACTACAATCTCCGCCTCCCAGGTTCAAGCGATTCTCCTGCCTCAGTCTCCCAAGTAGCTTGGATTACAGGCATGAGCCACCACACCTGGCTAATTTTTGTTCTTTTAGTAGAGATTGGTTTCTCCATGTTGGTCAAGCTGGTCTCAAACTCCTGACCTCAGGTGATCCATCTAACTCGGCCTCCCAAAGTGCTGGGATTACAGGCATGTCCATTCATTTATTTAAGAAATACAGCCGGGCATGGTGGCTCACACCTGTAATCCCAGCACTTTGGGAGGCCAAGGTAGGTGGATCACGAGGTCAGGAGATTGAGACCATCCTGGCCAACATGGTGAAACCCCATCTCTACTAAAAATACAAAAATAAGCTGGGCGTGGTGGCACGTGCCTGTAATCTCAGCTCTTTAGGAGGCTGAGGAAGGGGAATCACTTGAATTAGGGAGTCGGAGGTTACAGTGAGCCGAGAATGTGCCACTGCACTCCAGCCTGGTGACAGACAGAGAGATACTCTGTCTCAAAAAAAAAAAAAAAAATACATAGCTCTTTTCCCCGCCCTCCCCCTGACAGCATATCCAATGTGTCTTTATTTGTAATAAAAAATATGAAAATGTTGGGGAGTAAAAAACAGGCCTTAGGCCAGGTGGGGTGGCTCACACCTATAATCCCAGCACTTTGGGAGGCCAAGTTGGGCAGATCACAAGGTCAGGAGATTGAGACCATCCTGGCCAACATGGCGAAACCCAGTCTCTACTAAAAATACAAAAAGCTGGGCGCACTGACGCACGCCTGTAGTCCCAGCTACTCGGGAGGCTTAGGGAGGAGAATCGCTTGAGCCCAGGAGGCAGAGGTTGCAGTTAGTTGAAATCACCCCACTGCACTCCAGCTGGCGACAGAGCAAGACTCCGTCTCAAAAAGGAAAACAAAAACAAAAAACAGGTCTTGGCCGGGCGCGGTGGCTCATGCCTGTAATCCCAGCACTTTGGGAGGCTGAGGTGGGCAGATCACCTGAGGTCAGAAGTTTGAGACCAGCCTGGCCAACATGGTGAAACCCCGCCTCTACTAAAATACAAAAAAAAAAAAAAAAAAAAAAAAAATTGAACAGGCGTGGTGGTGGGCAGTAGTCCCAGCTACTCGGGAGGCTTAGGCAGGAGAATCTCTTGAACCCAGGAGGCAGAAGTTGCCCTGAGCCAAGATTGCACCACTGCACTCCGGCCTGGGAAACAGAGTGAGACCCTGCCTCAAAAAAATAAAAAGTAAAAACAACAGCAACAAAAAAACAGGTCTTATATTAAGGGGAATAAAGATAGCTGTATCAACGCAATGGAATATTACACACATTTGTGCATATTACAGCATACAAATATAAGTAATAAAATGTTAAAGGATGGAAAATGCATGACTTAATGTCAAGAAAGGATAGCAATGTTAATTTACAGATATACATTTAACATTTATTTATTTATTTGTTTGTTTATTTGAGACACAGTTTCACTCTTGTTGCCCAGGCTGGAGTGCAATGGCATGATCTTGGCTCACCACAACCTCCGCCTCCCAGGTTCAAGCCATTCTCCTGCCTCAGCCTCCCAAGTAGCTAGGATTACAGGCATGCACCACCATACCCAGCTAATTTTTTGTATTTTTAGTAGAGATGGGGTTTCTCCATGCTGGTCAGGCTGGTGTCAAACTTCCGACCTCAGGTGACCCACCTGCCTCGGCCTCCCAAAGTGCTGGGATTATAGACATGAGTCACTGTGCCCAGATAACATTTATTATAATTTAAACAATTAAAAATGTATATTTAACAGGGGATGGTGATGTGCACCTGTAGTCCCAGCTACTCAGGAAGCTGAGGTGGGAGGATTGCTCAACCCTGGGAGGTTGAGACATCAGTGAGCTGTGATTGTACCACTGCCTTCCAGCCTGGGTGACAGAGTGAGAACCTGTCTCAAAATAAATCAATAGGCCAAGTGCAATGGCTCACACCTATAATCCTAGCACTTTGGGGAGGCCAAGGCTGGCAGATTGCTTGAGCCCAGGAGTTTTAGACCAGCATGGGCAACATGGCAAACAAAACCTT